CCCCTCCCCTCCCCCCACATCAACGTTCAAGTTTGGAAAGGCTCGTGCGACCAGAGTCGCTGCGACCTAGCGTCGTGCCATGGCTTCATCATCTACGTTGGGGTGTCGTCCTATTAAAACTCGTCTTAAAATTCAGCATAAAATGTACTGTTTGTGGATGTAATTGATATTGTTGATAGTTAATTTGAAAAGCCAAATGAATGTTATCTATTAGAGATCTGTTGTTTTTTTCTGTTTGGTGTCCGGTGCACCGTTATTACCTGAACGGTTAATTTTCTGTAACGTCCAGGTTCGCTTTTAATCGATGAGAGGGACGTTACAAATGCTATCGGTGCGTCATATGGTGGCGTCCCTGCGTTCGTGCGTTTTGGCGCCGCTCCAGCTCGTTTCGTACCGTTCGTTCGCACGGCGGGGCGAGCAGCCGTTAGTGGAATTGAGCGCGCCACGCCAAAACGTATTTTCATAAGGACCCTCCACCTGATGCCCCGATAAACGCCGTATTCATAGCATGGTTCGCTGCGGATGTTGGGCCGAAGCGTTTGGTTGTCTCTGGCGCGGCGCCAACTTTTTTTTCGGCGGGCTACAGTTCCATCAGTTATTGTTGTTAACCGTTTGAAAAAGCGGTGGAGAATGGGGCGACGTGCGAAACGGCAGCCGCACGGACACGCCCCATCATCCGCAGCGAACCAGACTGTAGACCTGGCAATAGGTGTCATCGTGGAGGCAATCGTCCCCATAAACAGAATAATCATCAGCGCCGGAACAGCGGCTTCTCCTTGAGCGAGAAATGTCGGCTATCCGGAAAGGAGTACAGCGGCAGCTGTTCCAAACCGACGACGAACGGCTTCATGCTATTGTACATGTGGTACGGGTTGACGGGCGTAAAAAGAAGCGTCCAACATTCTTCTGTCTAGCAGGTTTGTTAAATAAAAAAACTGCGGCTTTGCTTCTTTCTCTAGTAATGGCTTTCAGTAACGATAGAACACCCGATATCCGTTCGTCTTTATTTTGTAAAAGGGGAGAAGGATGACACATTCAAGAAACGGACCAGATTCTATCTGCGCGATGTCAAGGAGGTCGATGGAATCAATCCAAAGAAGGTGGTTTAGTAGCGACTTCTTTTCTAATTTACTTTATCGAGTGTATGGGTTACCTTAAGCCTATTTAGGCTCTATCGGAGTTTCACATTACGATTGGCGATCGTAGGTACAGCATTACAGCAAGCACCCCTGAAGAAAAAGATGAATTCATCCGAGAACTGTATAAGGTACGATTACTGTCATGGTTGTTGAGGTTCAGTTTTGGCTTTGAAATGCCCATGTCTTCGGTAAATAGTCTTGTCCTCGGTACTTCGGCCGAAGTACTGTTGTATTAGGAATACGACAGTTTTTTGAAGAGCGTTTTGTCGGAACAAACGTCATCGTTTAATGCATTATTTCCCCAGGTCTACATTGCACCTACTTGGGGCCTTTTTAAGATCGATCAGACCCTTCTCGAAACCGACTATTCGAACAGTTTGTTGGCTTGCAGTTTTGCGGGAGACGGTCTTTGGGACCACGAGTCACTTTAATAGTGCTCAGATTGTCATGACCGTTGGATTTTGTTCATAACTGGGTTCAGAGAAAGCTGCACGGTTCTGCTGGCGTGTTAATAAAGCTACCGTAATCCCTAATCATTTGAGTGTCGCAATGCTTCCTGGGCAGCATGCTCTCAGGTACTGTACTTACCAGGGAAGGTCGCCAACTTACCATGGAACTTTGAATGGAGACCTGGGTGGATCGATAGAGTCTATAAGGTTATTTACAAATATAGATAGCAAAAC